CATACCAAAGGCGGCGTCTCCAGTGGAGGCCCGCCCCGCCATCACTGTGAATGGCCTCGGCTCAGCCCTCGGGAAGGCGCCTTTGGCATCGGAATGGCAGTCCTGCGCGGCAAGGCTGCGGTGGCGGAGCCTCGAGGAGGGGACCCGTTCTCAGTGGTGCTTGTGAGGAGGGTCTGGTACCCGACTCTGCTGCCTGCCTGGTTGGCTAACTCGTGTGACAGGTGCATTTACTTTTGTACGTCTCTGCGCCCCCCCCCCCCCCCCCCCACCGCAGGGTCGGCTCCTGTGGTGGCCGGGGATGCAGGCGGGTTAGTCGTGGGTGCCTGCTTTGTCTACAGGGGAGTCACGCTGACAGGTGACAGTATTTTATAGAGAGGTGATGAAAATTTATAAATTTCATAGACGGACTTCATTTATTTTTAGACTGTATGACGAATACACAGTAAACTAAAGAGAAAAGGAAGAAAGGAAAGTGAGGGGAAACCCTCCCGCCTGTTCAAGTGCACAGCGGCACTGGCCCAGGGCCCGCCTGCCCACTCTGCTGGGGTGACACCTGCTCCACCCGAGCGGCCACGGTGGTGCTTGGGGAAGGGATGCGCTGGGGGTGGCCGGGCAGGAGGGCTGCTCCCTGAGGCTCCAAGGTGGCCGGTAGGGCTCTCGGTCCCTCGAGCACAGCACCTGTGACCGGTCTTGGGTCCCTCGGTGGAGCAATGTTGTCTGTGTGCCTCCCGAGAAGCTCTCGGTCCCCCGAAAGGGCCAACATCGGCCAAAGGTGCTGACACGGGGCCCGGACCCAAAGTGGGCACCCCAGCGAGGGCTGAGCGTGGGCAGTCGGAGCCCCATCCTCAGGTGCTTGCCCCCCAGGCGGCACCCGTCAAGGAGCGTGGGAGGGTGGGCCTCTGTGTGGGGGCCTAACGTGAGCCTTCCCGGGCCTGGCCAACTCCACACACCCTTCAGAGGTGGGCGCCACGGGTCCTCTGCCTGCCCGTGAGTGGGGTCAGTGTGGTGGCCGAGGCCCGGCCCCACTTCCTGATCCCCAGGATGCAGGCCACAAGGGTCAGAGTGGGCCAGTGCGCTGCCTGCAGCCACCTCTACACTGTGTGGGGCAGCAATCAGGCTAGAGACGGAGCCTTCCTCCTGTGACCGCCCGTCCTGCCCCCTTCCCCCCAGGTCGGTGCTCCCAGTGCACGACGGTGCTGTCCTGATCCCCCCGCCCCCGGCCTCTCCAAGAGGCTCCCCTCCCCGTGTCAGGAACACAGGGCTCCCGAGAAAGCTGCGGCGCTGCCAGCGGAGCCCCCACCTGAACAAAGGACACTGTACACAAACACTGCGTCACTTCGGGAGGACCACCGCGCCGCGTCTGTCCTCTGCACGCACGCGCAGGCACCAGGGGACGGACGACCCGCGCAGGGCCTGCCCCACAGCGGGGCCCAGCTCGGCCTCTCCACACCCACCCTCCGGTCCCAGCCTGAGCGCCACCGCTGACGCCAGCCACGGGAGTAGGGCGCCGGCTGGCGTGCGTGGGGAGCGGCCCGGCGGGAGCCCCACCGCTGCTGCCGACGCGGGTGCTCCAGGTCTGACGGCTGCCGTCGCTTTGCTCAGGAAAACCTAACAACTAGGACAGCCTCCAGTCAGGGGATGCGTTCTCTGTTCATCTATGAATCGTGACCTATTTAAGAACCACCCCCCCACACACTGCCCTTATTTATCCTGCCAGCCGGCCCGTCTACAGTTAGAACTGTTTGTTCTCATTTACGCATCCATCCACGCTGGCTCTCGCATCCCTGACTTGGTTTGTAACGGAGACGGGCTTTGCTTTCTTGTTCTGGTAGCCTATGTTTCAGTTGGGGCGCTGGCTCCACCCCCTCTTCCCAAGGGAACCCCACTGCACTGCGTTTCCACCTCTAGACGCTGTAATAAAATACCTGTTTTCACTTGAACCTGGTCTGGTGGCAGTGTTTCTTCCCGACCGTGACACAGCAAGGTCCTGGAGCGCAAAGAGGGTCCCGGGCCGTGATAGCCATCCCCAGCTGGGGAGGATGGTCACTCCCAGCAGAAGCCCCACCTGCTCCGGAAGGCAGGCCCTGTGACCACAGCAGACAGTGAGCCCCACCTCAGGGAGGCCCAGCCCCTCCTTCAGGGCCAACACCTGACTAGGTCAGGCCCACCCACTTGACTAACTGAAACCGACTGCTTGAGTACTTTTCACAACACCAACAAAACCCTTCCCGAAGTCCCGCCTGCACTCAGAGGGAGGCCTGTGAGCCCCAGAGGCCCTGCGGGCTGGGCCCCAGCCTCCCTACCTTTCCTGGCTCTGGGTTCTAGGCCTCCTCTCCTCTGTTCCTACTGGGCACTTAAACCTTGAAGCTGGGCAGGGCTTCACTTCCCTCAGGGCCCCGCTGTGACTCTGCGGGCCCGGCAGCCTGCGGACGACAGAGGTCCCTCTCTGCATTCATTGCACCGCCGTCCCGTGTGAAAAAGAGGTACCTTTATTTGAACAGAACAAACTGGCCACCCCAAAGGCGCACCTTCCAGCTCTGCCCAGAG